AAGAATAACTATGAAAAACAAGAAATAAAGTACTTACCCAATCTTCTTTTAAGCCCGATTTTTTATATATATAGTGTATAGTGATTATAGTAAAGCACTTAACAAATTTTATCTAATTAAATAATACACCAAAGAATATAGACTAACATGCAAAAAGTTGAAAAATTCACTTCTAAAAATTTTCCTGGCTTTCTAACTATGCGACAAGATCCGTTAGAAATTCATTCAAGCTAGTCTTTAACTTTCCCACAGGAACGAAGTTGCTACTCAGTGACATTGACGGTTATCTGTTCAAAACACTATTATACAATACGCCATTTGATAGATGAAAACCTTGAATTTCTATTAGTTATAAATAATATATAATGAACGTATGAGAGAACTATCAACCAATTGTGAAAGAGAGGATGTGGCAGGAGGGGTCTGATTTTGTCTTTGATAGTTCTGTAACAAAACAAAATTGAAGGCCATTAAAAATTATGGTCTGTTTGAGCAGTAATGATTTTACAGAAAGCATTTTACGTTTAATTTCTTACGTTTTTGAGCGGTGATGGATAAAATAGGGATGATGACATGCTAAGACAAAATTTGTCATGTGTGTTGCATGGAAATTCAGGATTTTTTTATATATTTCCTTTTAGAATTAAGAACTTAAAACTTGTATACTATTAAAATATGGATTATTAGCTAATATTTTATGCTATTTTTATTTGTATAACATAAACAAAAAGTAGTTTAATACAATTTTGAATGTAAGACACTAAAATCTTGTGTCATGCACAGTAAAGGGTACCCATGCCGATAGGGTTAAACTACTTTTTATTCATGTTATACTAATTAGTATAGCATAAAATCGTGGCTAATAATCCATATTTTAATAGTATGTAATATTTAAGTTCTTAATTTTCTATGGCTATATTTAAAAAATCCTAAATTTTCCATAATGTGAGAAATGACTTTTTTTTTCTCTCTAAACATTCCCTCCTCTCTCATTTATTTACAACCCCTCCAATAAGTATGATATTTAACGTAAAAACTGAGAATACACCACAGAGAGTAAAGTTCATCTTTTTGAGCCCTCAGTGGGCTTAATGGTTTTTTGCTTCAGCCATTGGCCAAGACAAATTTTTTGGATTTTTACTGTTTTCATGTCTGAAGTCTAGATTTCAATGGCTAGTTTAGTTTTAGGAATAGGTTTGCCATTGTCTTATGAATAACATAAGTAATATTATTGTATCAGTTCCAGAAATCGATAGTTTAGTTTTAGGAATAGGTTTGCCATTGCCTTAGGGATAGCAAGTAATATTGTTGTATCAGTTGTCCATTTTGTTGATAATTAATGATCATGATAAAAGTAGAAATTTAACAACTGTTTAAACATGCATCAATTGTGTTTTCACAATTTAAAGATAAATTAGCTCCCCCCCCCCTAATAAATTTTATATTTTTTTTACACACTCGTCTATGTTGGGACTATCCATTTTCCTCCTCAAATGCTTTTGATGGAGTTTTCTGTTCACACGCCATTATGGTTAACTATCTTATTGCTACAAAGGGGTTCTAGTGCATTGGGGAAGTGGTTTCTATGGAAGCATTTCTCCCTTTGGATCTGGTACATTTATGATCTTTTCAGGAGATGCTGCATGACCCATGGTCTCTTACTAGGGTTCTTTTAGATTTTCCTCTTAACTTTCCTCCTTTCTTTCTTTGACTATATGCATTGGTGGTTTATCATATTCTCCCCACATTTTTGGGTTTACCACTTCCTCCAACTCATCCAGATTTGTTTTGCTTACCTGATGCTCATCTCCAAAATTGAGGAGCATGGGTCATTCAGGAGGAGGCTCTAGGACAATGATCTGTGGATGAAAGGTCTTGCCATGTTAACACTGGCACTTCCAGCAGTCCATATTTCATTTCGACTATTCGATGGTGATGTCTTATTTCATTCACCAAGGGGGCATTCATTCTTGTCCTTTTTGTGTAGACGGTTGTTTTCCCTTTTTCAACCCACTCATTTGACATATGTCTCCTGGCATATTGTGTTAAAGGTGCTTTCATCCTTGTTGCAGATTGCCTTTCCAGTCTCAATACATTTTCTCCCAAAGAGTGGCCTCTCAATCATCACATTTTTGGTGTCTTTGCCTCATGTGGAGTACTCCTCCACAGGAATTGTTTGAATAATTTCTTGATTCCAAGTTACCACTTGTTTTTGGTCTCCAGTTCATCATCTACTAGCCCTGATACGTTCAGATAGAATTAGATCCAGTTTATAACTTTGGTTGTTTTTTTTTCACATTCTGTCATTCTTCTTCCTAAGGTGATTTTGATCCTCCATGTTGTTCCAGCTTGGGTCTTTCTGTTTGAGCACTGGGACTACACCTCATATGTTCATTTCCCATTCTCTGCTTTAGATAGCTGTTTCTTTCACATCAGGGTACTGTCTTCCACCTGTTGCCACCCTTCATTCTTCAGTGAGACTGGCTAAGTTTTATTTCTTTTACGATATATACATTACCACTTTTACAGTTCCAAGAATATTTGTTCTAATAATACAAAACATACTTTTTTTTTAGGTAAAATTGTGATTGACCATTTGCTGTGTGTGTGTGTGCACTGTTTAATGGTTAATAAATGTTAATAACACAACTTTTTGCTATAGTGAACCATATATTTTGTTACTGTTTTATATGCATTCAGTTTATTTTCAAAGTAATGAAAGAACTTTGTGTGTAACATGAGAACTAAACCTGTATTTTCAACCATGTCAAATAAATACTATAATATTTCTAAAAGTGTAATGTATTTTTGTAGTACAGGATACGTATTCAATTAAAGCAGGATTATCAGTATAAACTATTACAAAAAGAATAGTCTTTTATAATTTGCATAACTTTGTCACTTCTCCAAGAAGCAATGTTTTTTTTTATTTAACACTGTATTATTTTAATGTAACTTAAAAGAAAAGGTATGTGAATTACATCTACAAGCAGAAATATTTTGGTACAAGAGATATTTGATTCTATAGGTTTGATCTACCTAATAGTATCTTTCACAATGTATTTAGCTTAAGCTTTCTTTCTATAATATACTTGTTTCTTCTTATAAAAACAAGAATAAAATTAACTCTGCATAGAATAAAGGTTACAACCGCGTATCTCCAAGAAGCCTAAGTGACAAACAAGGAATTAATTTCATTGGCTTTTATTTAATTCTCTTCCTATAAATAAGTACAGTTAAATCTAGCACTGAAATTATCATAGGTAAGAACTCAGCACTATTAGAATTTATAAATTATCGTGTCAACGAGGTAATTTTACGATAGAAGTAATACAAATCTTATGTTTT